AAAATTTAAAAAGAGCAATGTAGATATTAAGTTTTAAAAGTCCATGTATTCTACTGAGTTGGATGCCCGTGTCCTAGCTAGTATGCCGTGTATTTTGGTGCCTCCTTGATTTTATAACCGCAAATAAGTCCTATCTGGTCGATGTCGTTCATATGGACCCATGAAAAGACGTTCCGCTCCGAAAACGATTGGAGAAAGTTTAATGGATAAAGGAGGGAGGGGGGGGGGGGGAAATCCGTCTTATTACCGTATATGCGACAGGTGGGATAGGACAATATCGCAAATATGGCCCCCACACCCTCATTTCCCATCAATTTCATACGCACTGACCTCAATAGAAAGAAGAGTGAGGAAGAGTTCTATATATATGTATATATTTTTTAAAAATGAACCTGACTGTTATGAAAGCCTCCAGCTCCTTTGTGGAGGTGAGAGAGAGAGATAAAAAATTCATTCACGACTTGTTAGTAGATATGTTTCCCAATATTCAACATACTATTAATAAAGCAGGTAGATGCGGGAATAATTGGGAAAAGTAATTCTTATTTAACTCACCAATACTAACACCTATGTGTCTAATGGTCAAAACAGATTTTACAAACGTAATTAGAGGAGAAATTGAAGTACGGTTAAATGAATAGCAATTATTTGAGATTCATTCCTTTGCGTGTCTACTGACTTATTTCACTAAGAACCTTCGTTGTGTTGTTACTAATGTAACTTGTACCCCTTTGCTATACAGGAATACATTTTTCCCTTCCGCTTTTTCTATTTTATTCTGTCCCACTAATGAGGTCAATAATTTAATTATCCATGTTGACAACGAAACAGTAGCAAACATTGCTTTCTGTCCCTACCTTGCTGCATAAAATTAAAATTTGTGATGACAATCTTATATGTGCATTTTTCTGGTTCAAGCATCTGATGAGTGAAGATAACTTTCCCCCATTCCATTGGTAATATCGGCTAGTCACAATTAGAATTTGCCTTCCTTGAAATCAATTGTAAAACTTGGCGTGAGATTCGTGCGTCATGAAGAGTGTCCTGACGTACACGTTGATTCTCCTCGGATATGAAGTCCCTAAAAGGAAGTCCTTATTTCAGGGAAGGGAAGGGCAAACCCCTCCCTTTTATGGACTCGTCCAAGTGACTCAAACTTACCCCCCGGCAACAACATTTTTCTTTCTTCTCCTCCCCCCTAATCCTCATTCCATAGCTTCTCTGTCTCGCACTCCGTTTCAATGAATCCGCCAGCAGACGTTCCAGTTTTTAAACTAACGATTTCATTAATTTCTTCGGTAATTGCTCTGAATGCCCAGACCATTGCTCTGAATATAATCTTTTGGCAGGTATTCAGAGCAATGGTCTGGGCAACAGAAAACTCATTACAGTTTAAGCCTGTTGATGCTAAGAAAGTCACCAAGTTTTCCTGTGTGCTTTTTGAGTTTGTATTTTCTTTGCTTTGGTTTAAAAAAAAAATTACGTTCGTGTAGTTTCTTCCCTCTTGCAGATGAAATTGATGCACATGTAGATTTGTTTCGTTTCTATGTGATTGGATTTTGAATTGAAACAAATCCATTCATTGGTTTAATTGTGGTGATCCGAAACCGATGCTCCAGTTTTTGCGCTTCTTTGTTTGGTTTGTGTGGCTCAGGAGATGAATGAAGGAGTGTTGCATAATGAGGCCGTGGTATGCACTCACTCGACAAGGGGTAGAAAGGTAAACCAATCCAGGCCTTCATGTGGCATACTGGAGACCTTTTTTTCTCTTAAGTACTGCGTCCTTTACCCTTAGATTCATCTTCATCACCGCAACATCATTGTTTCTTTTCCTTTTTCTGGTTTACACGTTCCAGCCATAATTGGAAGTGTCATGTGACCGAGTTCTCGTTGTTGTTGCTTGATGGGGTTCTTTGACCTCTTTCAGCGCCTAATTTAGTTCTCGTTGGTCCCTTTTCTTCAGCCTACGCCGCCATACCTTTTGTCTCCAAGAGTTTTAAGATTACCTACCCGAACCACACCCTGCCGACTCGGGAGTTTTTTGTTGAGGCATATGGTTTCCCTGATATTCCCATTATCCTCTTGTAGTTCATGAAATCGTGATCCAACAATACTTCCGTTTTTTCTGCAATTTCCGTACTCGGAGTACTTCGGAGTTTGTCTGCATCAACATGAAGGATTTATTCTTTCATGGATCTTAACTTGAAACATGAGCTACGATAATGCTCCGCAAACCCTACCATTTATTTTCTTCCGTCACGCCAAAATTCAGCGTAATTGCAGCAAATTCGTCTGTCGGATTGGTTCAAAGCACAATTTTCCGAGCTTATAGCATTAAAAAAATTCCCTTAAGGTGATGAGATTGTTTATCCTCGATTTTCGAAGTGCCTGTTCGAAATTCGAAACGAACAATTTCTACGTACTTTCTGCGTATTTCTACGTATTTTTTCCTTCCCCTTCTTTCTTCCTCTTCATAATACATCCTTTTCCGTAACAGCTAATAATTTTTTTCTGTTGCACCTTGAATGTTTACTCTCATCAGTGATTTTGATTTGAGGACAAATTTTGTAAGTCATCAGTGGAGTGACAGGCGTGAATTGTTGCCTCTTCGTTTTTAAAACAAATTTTATGAGTGTTCCAAGGATTATTAGAATTTTCCCCTCCAGGTATCTGAATCCTCGTTTCTCTCCAGGGCTGCAGTCGCCTTTGATTTCAGACATGGAATTTCCAGTGAAAAATAGTCAAGGGACACATAGAATCTAATCCGGTTAGGTACGTGTGCACGTAGGCATCGGGGCTAGGCTCTGTCTTCACCTAATGGGACGTTGGGCTTGCCAAAAATTCCGGGGACAACACTGGGGTCGATAACAGATGCGGCCCGAAGTGTTAATTGCGCCCTCCCCTACCGCCCTGGTTGCATTTTTATTTTCCTTTCGTCCCCAACCGAAAGGTGGAGAATCGATCTACTTGTCGACGTCACTATATTTCGAATGACGGAAATCGATGAAAGGGAAACAAAAATAGGAAAATATTTTTGGAGATATGAAATTTGGAGTTCCACATACGAGACGAAAATAATAACTATCGATAATACAGTCAAATTTTTAAGCGATTTCATCTTATGTAAATGGAAATACAATTAGCTTGATGTAAGATGCTTTTTTAAAATTGGAATTGATTTTCGTAAGGACATCTTTGGCACGTTGTCAGCGATGAACGTTTTCGGAGGAAATAACACGGAATTCATCGGGACAAATGGCAATATAAGATGGGTTTATGGAGGAATGTCAAATACGAAATTGTTGAAAACCACCATTGTTGAATAGCAAATATGTCGATGTTGAACATAGTAGATGGTGCTTACTGTTGGAGTAACGTCTGCCGAAATATGGAATGTGAATGAAAAGGAAACATGGATTTATGTCGTCACATTCAAGCCATAGGCGACCATCAAGCTCCAAACATTAAGTTCGGCGATCATGCTAAGGGGGGGGGGGGAAATATTCCTTTCCCATCCCCTATACAACTCTGGGATTGGATTGTCTTTTAACCCTGGAGGGAGAACGGCTCTAATGTGGATTATATCCGCTGCTGTAATTAATTTGAGAGTTCAATAAAATTGCAAGTCGATTTTATGCTTAAAAAATCGGAAGACATTAGGTTTTACTTCTTAAGCTGGGATGTTCAAGGTATTTGTGGCTTACATGTGATCACCCTGGTTTCGACTGCACTTTTGTCAGCGATGGTAGCATTCATCCCCTTCCTAAAACAGTTCTGATTCTGCCACGAGCTATTTCTGTACGTCCAGATATTAGGAATTATCTTTATCATTATTTGCTGAATTCGACATAATTATCAGTGGATACTCTTTCTCTGTAATATTTTGTCTTACGATAAGGGACTTCCTCTCGCAATATCATCTTCAGAAGTGTATTCATTCTAACTGTGGTCGCAAGTTCATGTTCCGATCGCTACTTACAAGGAATTATTTAGGAATTATTTTGACTAAGGGAAAGATGTGACTGTTCTTGCTATGAATGGAGTTATTTTCGACTGCATAGAGCAATTTCAAGGTACCTTATTTCGTCTTGGACCTTCTTGTATTTCTACATTCTACCCATCGACATTTTTTTGGCGTGGACTATACTCCTAAAAATAAAAGTTTTCAAATGTATAGCTCATTTTCCCCTCCCTCTTTCTTCCTCATCGAATTCGAAATTGGAATTATAAATGGAATTTATAATTTCAATGTGGAAAGCGAGGACCAGGTGCAATATATCGGGCATCCTGTCACCCGATCCCTTCAATGACTCCAAGCTAATTTTGTCCATAATTTCCTTTGCAAGTTGTAAAAACAATGCGAATAGAAAAAAGACAAGTTGCCTCTCTCTGTGCATGCTTCACCGAGCTTGACCATGAAGAAATGCATTCACGTAAATTGTGAAAAGGAACCTCTCTGTTCTCGTCCCTCTACCCCTTTTCTTCCGGGAATATGTCTGAATGCCCTAATTTTATGCTCATCAGAAAGGTTGCATATATGCTTATAGGACCGTAATGTCTTTAAAAATTGTTGTTTCAAGAAGGGAAAGTTTATTGCATTTTCAACTTGTCTCAAAAATGTATGTTTCTACTGATGCGTGACTTCGGCCCATTTTGCTCGTCCTTCGAACTTGGAGTAGAGCTCGATAAGCTCCCTTGTCTTAAAAAAAAATTTTAATGCGCTATCCCCATATTTTTGCTTGTGTGCATATATAGGCCTGATATATTATTAAAATGAACAAGGAAGAAATATATACCTTACTTTTTCAGATTTTCCTTTTGAGGGGCTTTTGTCAACCAAGGGTAGAACTATAAAAATATCAATATATATACAAATATCAGCCATGCGAGAAACTTAGCGAACCGCGTTATTTATTTTATATATCAGATTTAGATTTCCTCAAGTCCAATTCCTCTGATATTTCATTTAATACATTTCTTTGTTCATCTTTATCTTGCAGAGATCGGCAAGGTGCGGGGGAACCTGTTTCAGATCAATGGGCACAAGCGAGAACCCTTGGTGCTGCCCGAGGGCCAGGGTGCCACGGTTACCCTCTCTGAAAAGGTCTATGTCCCCAACAAGGAACATCCGGACGTAAGTACTTGTGATAAAATATATTATGGGGATGAAATTAGGTAATATGGATGGGTTTTAGCTGATGTGGAGTACAAAGGAAACTGTCTGGAAGCCTAAGTTGTATGCTCGTACTTCCATAGTTCCGAGGCTTTGAAAAATGAAAGTCCGTTTTGCAGTGCTAATTCCATTTTCAAGATGTTCCAGTCTTCAGCTGAAATTCATTATTTTGAAAAAAATTTAGAATATAGACGAAAATAAAGTTCAAAAAAGGTAATTCAATAGGGAATAAATGCAATTCCACCACAAATGGACTTCAGCAGGAGAACTATGAGGTCATGATCCACGATAAACAACCTTTATCTTACGTGACTACTCTTGTCATCAAATACCTTGCGATAAACTTGAAAAAATGTTGACTCCTCGGGAATCGCTCTGCTTTGTTATGAGACCGCAAAGAGATAAGAACACTACAAAATCAGTGGCACTATTGGCCTGCGTCCAGGCAGGCAATTTCACTTCAGTCTTGCCTGACATTTCTCTTTCCTAATCCACGTCCATGAGAGGTGGAGGAAACTGGGAAAAAAATTTTGTCTTGCTGTTATTTATAGTCCTACCCTAAAGTTCTTTTTCTTTTTTTTTTTAATTTATAAGGGGTGGACACGCCTTGCAAATTCAGGCTAGGCGTGCAGATTTATGACTGTCTTTGTTCTGAGTCTTTTGCCATTCCTGTCACGGCTCTTCTCTTCCACGTGTTTGTATTGCTGTTTTGCCTTTTGGCAAAAGCACTGTCACGCGAGGAAGAGGAGACCCGGTTGTGCAAATTTAGATGCCCGGAAAATGTCAGCCGAGATTGACGGAGGAATAAAAAGCAAGAGAAAACAGACTGAATATTCTCTGATTCGCTGCCAGTTTTCTCCGTACAAAGAGCGTAGAGTTTCACCTCGATCGACGCAGAGTATTATGACAAAAGGTGCCGCCGAACATAAGACTCTTCTTTGAACGCAAATAAAACATATTTGCATTTCTTCGGAGGTGGCTTCACCTCGAAATAGAGAACAGGAATTGGTATGTAGGCTCGTGTTTCCACTGATACGGAAAACCAAGAAAAGTCATGGAACTTTTAAATGTTAAAAGTAACAGGGAAAAGTCAGGGAATTTAAGTGTCTTTGCTTATGGGTTTGAACCCCTTAGATGCGCCGTCTTTCTTTATCCCTCTAGACTTTCTGTTACTAAATATAATTTGGTCATGATTAAAAGCTAGTACCATAACGTGGTTTGTTATTTATAATGTATTATTGGTTTTGCCAGATATTTCTCTGTGTGATTGAAGATACAATACAACATATGTCCCCATTTCCCAATTGTATCTATTTTTTTCAATGTCTTACAAGTGAGCACTGACCTAGAAAATTTTTAAGTTGGATCAAAGGAATCTGACAAAGTCAGGGGAAAAATGAGTCATTGTTGTTTGATACTGACAATCTTAGAGCTCGTCAGCACCAGGAAGTTTTATTGTGTGAACAGTGAAAGAATATTACGAAATTACGTTTTCTTCGAGAAAAGACGTTCAAAGATTTCTCCCAGAACGCAAAAAATCTTGCAGGTAGATTTTCCAAGGCTTCCTCACTTAGAACGTTTTTATTTGCGAGTCGACTGGCTAAGGAAAGTGGCTTAAAAGACTTTCTTATTTGAGCGAGACCAAAAGGTATACTTTTCTTGCAGTGTTTTACATTGTGAACTTTTCTATTTTCAACGTATACTTGTAGATGCTTTGCTGATTTTTCCTCAGCTACCATAGGATTCAAAATTCCGAATTCTTCAAGTTCCGTCATCCGAGCGAGGATATAGAGGGTTTTCACAGACAGCCGGGAACATCCTTGGTCTAGAGTAAGCCTTGTAACAAAGCTATATTTGTTATTTGAAGAAAGGGACTTACAGTCTCGGAGTGAATGGAGCAAGCCTAAGCACTGTTGTTACCTTCCCACTGAAAACCATCTGCTTTTCCATGTTAGCTTCTTATGTCTTTGTTCGTATCGCATTAAGAGGTTGTCTATGATGTATATGATATGATGGTTGATGTCATATTTTTTTCAAAGTTGTTTCATCCTGTTATTTCCCTCTGAGAAGGGTGGGAAAATGCTCGGAGTTTAACATTTATAGCTCGTAACTTTGTTTCCAATAACCTCTCTCGTGATTTTTTTTTAGAAACATGTTTTTCGAGAGCGAAGTCCAGTAGACCCATAACAGCCCAAAATCAATTGTGACTTTAATTCAAAGGTCGGGAATGATTATAAATGGCCTTTGAAGCAAAAGGAGAATGATCGTGACCATGCATAGTAAGAAGTCATCCAGGGCTGCGTCAGCCATCGTCTCAAACCAACGCCAGGACTCTTGTGCCAAAAACCCCTTCCCAAAAAAAAAGTTAAACGAAGACGTAGGCCGCAAATGCCCGTCTCCTCCAGGGCGCATAACTGCCGATGACTCATACCATATTCGAACTTTTCTTTGTAACTGTTCTTTTTTATTTTAAATATTTCTCAGAGAAAGGTCAAAGGTCCAGAGCCGCGTCATATCTCATGCAGAAGTCAACTACATTTGAGTTACTTTTTTTTTATTCCGCAGTTTAATTTCGTGGGTCGGATCCTGGGACCTAGGGGGATGACGGCGAAGCAGCTGGAGCAGGAAACCGGCTGCAAAATCATGGTCAGGGGGAAAGGCTCCATGAGAGACAAGAAGAAGGTAAGTCTATCCCCTGCACAAGACTTTCTCATTTCTTTTTTTAAATTCTTTTCAGAGGGAGGGGAAACGGGTTGTTCTTCCTTGTTTAAATAATATGCAGGGTTTGGGGGGGAAAAAAGACCAACGACTTTTAGCCCTTTTCGTGGGCAAATTTTTTTTATGTACGGCCTTACCAGAACATGGGGAGGGTCGTACGTTTTCTGGGGAGTATACTTCCCACTGTCCACGAAAGGATTAACCTATTTTTCCCCACATCTACTAGAGCTATTTACGTAAAACTTACATCCTGCATATATTGGCATGTTCCCAGCAGACGTTGGAAATATCATCTTAGGTCTTTCCGCCAAGTCAAGTCAATGAGAGATTGTTCAAAAAAACCGGAAACTGCAAATGGACGGGGGACTAGGCTCCCTTTGGAGTGACCAGAGTCCGACTGCCTCGTTCCCTAGCGTGTAAACCATGGGAAAGTAATGGAAAACGTTGAGAAAATTTGTCTGAATTGATTATGAATTGAAGTAAAGCTAGTTGGTCCTTTTGCCATATCTTATACAGTATTTAAAACTGTAGATATTTCAATTTATTTCTTAACGCTGAACAAGAAAAAATAAAACACATGCAAAGGAATGCCCTGCCTACACTTAATAATACCTCTTGTAAAAAAAAATCCAAACCAGGAAGGAAAGAAGAAAAGAAGGAGGTAGGTAAATAAGGACTGACGGCGTTGCTTGCTTCAGTCTCGACCACGAACTCCCCTCTGTCGCTAAGTCACATCTACAAATATATCACCTCTTCTTCCTCCTCTGAATAATCGGAGTCGCATTCCTGCTTGTCGTCTTGATGAAGGATGGTGTAGCCGTCGCTGGCTGTATGATCTGCGGCCAGCTGGTCGATTAGTTCTGGCTTGCTGAGAGGGGGAGCCCCTGGGGCATCCCTGTTAGGGTGTTCGCTGCCGTTCCTGGCATACAAACCGGGCATTGTATTTCGATGGAGCACTGGTTCAATCTATTCAGACAATAGAAGCTATCCTGCCATTGTTGCCTTGTTTTCTGCCTGAAAAGGGGAACATGGAACCAAGGTAAATAGAAGGTGATGTTGCTTTCAGGTAAAGACAATGAGTGATGTAAAGATGTCATCATTAAACCATTCTGAACATTATCCTTCACGTTCTGGGCTCAGAGATGAAAGACTGCTCAGCCTCGAACAGAATTGCGAATTGGGCGGATACCCGATCGCCAAGACTGAGGACTGGTGGTATCCCCTCTCCATAGGATCCCGTAATAGGACCTTTTTGATGTGCCCCTCACTAATTTCCAAGCTGGTTGAATGGTAAATCCCATTAAGTAAGAGTATAGTAATATTGAAATAATTTATTTCACAAATAAATTTGTGTGCTTCAGTTGAGGTCGCCTTCTCACCATGGACGAATATTCTAAAGAGAAAATTTAAGTTTAAGTTGAGAAAGTTTAAGATGAGGAAAGCTCGAAGAAGGGTATCAATGACGCCCCCCCACCAGGTTATGCTTCCACCTTCTTTTCCTCTTCCTTCTATTCACCGTCTTCCAGAAAGAGGGAGGGAAAGGAGGAGGAGGAGGAAGGTCTATAAATAGGTGGGGACCGGGGGAACCCAAACAATCCTGGGTGCCCCAAGAAGAAAATTGTGAGATTTTCCCTCCTCCTTGGATTCCCTCCAACAGGGGATATCTCACAGCTTCCTTTACTCAGCTCCTTGCCGGTTTTTTTTTTAAATATATTTTCCTTTACGTGGTAGGGAATGACTCTAATTACCATTAAGGTGGGAACAGTCAAGTGTTTTCGTGTGAATCGGCACGTTTTCAAGTTTTTTTTTTTAAGCACGCTCTAGTTCTAGGTGTTATTATTCCGCCATTTTGTGTGTATGAATATTAACCTCATCTTCCCTTTTGCGATTTCTTTTCTGCTGCCGAAGAGAGGAAAAGGCAGGTGAGTGAGTGGAATAATATAAAATGAAAACAACCAATTGGATTTCCCTGGAATGTCCATATTCATGTTATGAGGCTGTTACAAGTAGAAATTCCATTGCGGCATTTCAGGTTTTTTTTTTCTTCGGACGAGTGTCACATATGCGCGAGATTTAAAGGTGTCGGGTGTGAATGATGGCATGGGTGACGGGTCCTGAATGGAAAAAAAAAGAATCCCCATTGCTGAAAAGTATCCATGACCCTAGCGACGGATGAAGGAAGTGGATAGAGAATAAAATTTCCTCAAGCGTGGAACCGATATTACAGGGTGGCCCAAACAAATTTCCACTGTTGGTAACTGCTTGTCTTTTCCAGGTAAATTAAAGTGAACAACTCATTCGTTCATCAGTATAGCGCAACTCTCTCCTGTTCCATTGAAATTAATTCAAAGTTTTTATTCATAGTCAGGAAGCAGTTGAAGTTGAAGTTATACTAAAGCAGCGAAAATATCGTGTTCCCAGTAGCACTGACAACTCCAGGTAAGTGGAGACTGAACTGAAAATAGCAGCCCCACACGAGCTGTTTTTGGTGATACGTACGGGTAGCACCTAAGTCAATTGACTTAGATGCTACTCATTTTTATTTTTTAACACAAGAAATGTTATTTAAAAAAATACAACCCTAACGAAGTTTTTGCTCAGTTGAAGAGGTTTCGAACATTTCATCCACGATTTGGAAAGCCCTAAATCATTTTCTTCAGCTCAAACCCTTTTCTATGACAAAGGAATTTGATTACCACTTTATGTTCATTGTTAAGAATGACCATAACAACTTTAAGAAGCGTTAGCGCAAAATAGCAAAGTGCAAAAGGCATCACATGTCAATGCCTAGCAAGTGGTCAGACTGTGGGAATATGTATTATGCATTTCGCCACCCTGTATTTATTTATTCAGTTGAATGGAAGTGTCTCGAGGAAAGAAAATGACTCTTGAGTTTTCTATTGGAAGAGTCAACTCCAACAGTTTATCTCATTCGGACCAAGGTCAGCCATAGCGGTCCGAATTTGAAGAATATTTTATTTTATTTTCACCCATTATTTAAACTTGTTGAAAGATGTCATGATCGAACTTGATCATTTGACAATGGCTGTCATGGAACATAATTCTTCAGACTATATCATGGTCTGAAAGGTGGTTTCATCTGAGGTATGGTGACTGTCACTATCAGACTAATTCTGCCCGCTGATGACTGGATCGAAAACATCCTTGCTCAGAACTCGACTGTGCCTTGCATGCTGGATTTACTCGATGGCGGGTGTTTATCACCCCGAACTAGATCTCAAGTTTTCGTAGGTTTGCAATATTTATATGGAGCTGATTTTGTCCAATATTACTATTTGCCACTTATGGATGGAATACGGATGATTCTATAGTTGCTTAAGTTCCGCCAACTTATTATAATAATCCCTTCGAACGTGCTGATAGGGTGCTCTTTATTAATCATCGAGGTTTTTCCACTGGTTCTTTGCGACTTCAATTCTAGTCCTAAAAATTTAGTCCAGAATAATCACGCCCATGATGAAACTCAACTACGAAAGGATGTATTTTCTTTTAAAAAAAAAAAAGAGCACATGGATTTCCTACTTATTGGTGGCCAAAATGGATTTTTGACTGAAATCGATATATTCCATTCTTTATTAAAACTAAGTGAAAGTGCAATACGTCTTCACGTTGGTCATTTTACGAATCAAGTTATTGCAAGGACATACTTATTTGTTCAAGGTCTTCATGTTGTGCAGACCTCGAAACTTTGGGGGAAATTAAGCAGATTGTTATATTTGGCGATGACCTGTACGATAAATCAGTTCTGGAAGATGTATTTGGTGTTTGTTTTTCAATTTCCATCCTTGGAAACAGGGGAGTATGGGATCCATGAGATTGTCTCATTATATTTCTTACAAGCCTCTTCATTCTTATTCAAGTGGAGAATTTTGTTTGATAGGAGAAAACCTCGGACTTCACTCTGCGCATCCTTGATCTCGAGGAAGAATTGTTATTCTGGCCGGGATCTGTGTTGGTTTCTTCCGTTTGACAAGAGCCTGCTTCACCTTTTAACACTTTTCGATCTAAAGGATGCAAATGTACGTCCAGCCCTAACTACCCTTGGACGATGGTGTACGTAATAGTACGTTCCTTTGCCCTTCAAGTTAAGTATCATCTTGCTTCAAGATTGTCGATTAAGGGCCAAAGAGCGAAGAAAAATGGGCGAAGGATTAAATATTGGGGGCGCAAAGTCAAATTGGCCTGGAATAAAACAGTCAAAATATGTCCGTGATCCAAGCGCAACAAAATAATTGGGAAGAGTGCAGAAGCGCATCTTGCGCTGCGCTTTTCATGAAGCGTATGAGATCTTGAAGAGTTGCATTTCGGATATTTGAGTTTTCCAGATGATTGTGTCCATATGTGAAACTGTAGATTCTAGGACCAGATTGTTTGCTGCTGCCCTTTCTGTGAGAACCTGAAGCTTCTTATAGAGTCCATGTCTTGGGTGGAAAAGACCATATAAGGGACAGACCTTAAAAGATAATTATAAGCAACTGCATTTGGCTGTCAAGGGGATCAGATGTATGAGTAGTGGTTGAAATTCTGACTGGAGATATCTCTGAGTTTTTGTTGTCTTCTCGGTTGCTACAGTTTTGTTAGTCGCAGCTATTTCTGAGCTAAAGTTCTAGTTGCGAGCCCTGCGCACACTTGCATCAAAGCAAGTTGTTAGCTTTTGAAGCTTTATTTATTGAGATATCAAGGTAGGCAATTTCCATATATGTTTTATTCAGAGCAACCGCACTTCAACTTCAAAACGCTTCTCTTATTTGAGTTATTTTTGTCAACGTTCAAGTTAGGAAACACGAGAACTATCCATGAGAGATATCCAGAATCACTTTTTTCATTCAGACCATCATCGTTACAAACTGGAATACCGTCAGGTCTCGGAATCAGCTGAATTCTGTGAAACATTTTGCATTTTATGGTCATAAGTATCAAAGAGTAGGTTTTCTGAATTAGTC